AGGGACCTACAAGGATCATTAAGTCCAATTCTTAAGTGAATGGCCCATAAGAGGATCAAACCTACAGCCTTGGTGCTATCAGCATCATGCTCTAACCGACTGTCCCAGCTGTGTCACCTCCCAGCTTCTTAAGCACCCCCAACGTCATCGTTGGTGGGATGGCTGAAAAGCAGAAAATACCTTGAAACTGTGTAAGCACTGCTCAGCAATAACAAAGACTTCCCAGTATGATCACCACTACTCTCAGCACACATCCAAACACAGGGTTATGCCAGTTCCTGTGAAGAAAAGAAACCTACCCCAGCCAAAACCAGAACTAGAACATTATTGGAAAAGATGACATTATAATACTTTTGCCCCTACATAGAATCTTTTAGAATCTTAGCAACAAAAATTATGGTATCAGCACTCAGTAATTGAGATCCAAGTTCATTTTCACAAACATTATGTATCTTCTTAGAAACGTGGGCGCACAACTGGAGCATTAAATTCTGGACACTAGTTAATGTTTTTTACCTTAAAACAGATGTGCAGCTCCTTTGTTGGAAGTTGCCTTCTCTCCAGCCTGTTTTGTCACTAGGGCACTTCCTAAAATATACTTTAGACAAAATCTGATTTGACCTAATCAGCTTAATCTGGCTGATCTGGCATGAATTGGTATGTAGAATTGACAAATATTAACTGTATACTTACTATGATAGATGTCTTTAACATTCATAATTTTTCATAAAATGATGGGACCTGCATTTCAGAACTATTACTACACTTACTCCTGGTTCAGCAAGTCAGGATATTATGTTGCCTTAGTTTCAGAAACAAGAAGATAATAAATGGGAGCACAGCTACTTCATTGAAATATTTTTTATGTAATCAAATGTTCATTTAATTGGTCCTGCTTAATACATGACATAAAAGAATCTTATTCAAAATTGTTTTCCTGAGCTATTACTTATTGCACTTATTTTATTACATAAGGAAACCAAATTATGAATCATTTTTCAATTGTCCCAGCTGTCACTTAGGTCAGCAGTACATAGTAGATGATGAGAAAAATGATCAGACAGTTGGGAGACCTAGTCTGTAACTAAAGATAAAACCAACTTTGTGCTTCCTTTGTTAAAAAAGACCAGCTGGAATCGTACAAAAATTTTGGAAAAAAAATATACTGAGCAGAAATCTTAAAACTCAACTGCATTCCTAAACACTATATCATGCTTGTCTCATGCGAACACTCTCTTGTGCAAGAATTGTTTCATAGAGAAAGATATAAAAGGAGTTAAGAGTAACATGTTTTTTTGCTAACCAGTAATATAGATTACCAAAAAAAAAATCCCAGTGCATCTTTCTCCATCATATTTGACTGAACTTTTGGTAAGAAAATCAAAATTAAATCATAGAAATGCAAAGAAACAAAAGGAAATTTTGTGGTTTTGGGAGATCATAAGTAGATTTTCTGATGTACCATGAAAGGCTAGTAAGACTATTAGCAAAGTGCGGGAGAGGAGCTCTGGAACTTGGTTGCTGAATGTACCAATGCTTGAGTGGTCATCTAGATACTTCAGGTACCTATATCAATTCCCACTGAAAATCTGAAATCATAAAATATTTTCATAAATTAATAAAAAATTGTAGGGTTTTAATATAACAACTGGTACAAGATATATTTTTCTCCAATTCTGATCATCCTATAAATAAGGGTGCTTCAACACATTTGCACTTTCCCATTGTGGAACAGATGATCTTTTACAGAAAGATCATGGGCAGAAGCCTTCACAACAATAATAATGATAATAATAATAATAATAATAATAATAATAATAATAATAATAATAAAGTATATTCCATCATAAGATATCTATGCTTTACTGAGATAATACAGTAGCTAAGTAGTAGATAAGGACTTACAACTGAATCTACACACTGGGATACAGATTGCTGATGTCTTTGTGCAGTGATATCCAAGATTTTAAATTCCTCAAATTTCACTAATGTTGGAAAAAATGAGGAATACTTCATAGCACTTCAGCCAACTGTGCTAGTGGGTTGACGTACATGCTTTTAAGGCATGGAAAAGAAAATCTGTCTTTCACCTAGAATAACAGCTTAATGATTTGGCTACAGGCTCACTTTACTTCCCATTAGCTCTCTGTATGAAGCAATAATATGCGTAGCCATTAAACCACTTCCTTGACAAGAACAGCTTGTTCTACTTTTGTCATGGAATTCCTCCAGGATAAGATGTCTACATATTAATGCCAGCTCTGTTTCACAAAGTAAAGTAAAATGTGACATTTTAAGCTCAATTTTATGATAATTCTGAGGAGTTCTACCAGAACTGCTATTCTGGTGAGTTCAGTTGATTCCATATGGTTTCTGGATTCCAGTAATGAACCAGATGGTAGTGTGATCTAATGACATGTAGTGGACCAGATGGGTCTTGACACACAGATAGTGTAGAATTAAAATGGCTCAATCTTAAATGAAATTTTAAATCTCAGTCTGTAGTATTGCAGAATCTTGAAAGGACTCACAGAGTTGCATGGCAATCTCTATTCTTTTTTTCTGATTTCTTTATTCTGCTTTTTTGTGATATACACATTTTCTCTATATACTGTATTTGTTTGAATTACGTAGCCAAAAGGCAATCTTCCATTCATCTACCTTCCCAAGAAAAACAAGAAACAGTGAGTAGACTGGGCTAACAAATTCCAGTTAAAAAAACCAAAGCTTTGAATCCCATCTGCCTCAGGGAAAACTGATCACTCTGCTACTTGGAAATTGAAGAGTTCACATACAATTTAGAAGTCAAAAAGCTCAGGAACTACAGCCAAAAACTCCCAACAAACCCCCCAAACCAAATCAAAACAGAAAAAGCCATAAAAAACCCAAATTGATCCAATGTACAAAACCAAAACCCAAACAAATTAACCAATCCTCAAATTCAATCTATTATGATTGCACTCTTTTACAAGAAAGTCAGTATAACTCTTAAAAAGTGCAAGCTGGATATATTAGTGTAAGTTAATTAACAGGATTGTGGAACTAATTCAGTGTAAATTTTATTTACTTTTATATGTTGAAACATACAACGCATAAACAGAAAAAAAAGAAGAGCTTAACTTCAGGTTCTAGGTTGCATATGAAAATTTGGCCACTGTGAAAATGGGTTTTTCTTGCTTTTCAGAATTAACCAATTTGCTCTAGAACCTCTTTCCCCCCCACCAAAAGATCAGTGCATGATCTCCATGATATCACTTTACAGTGACTCTGTGCTTCTTTTTCTAGTGTATTTAACAACACAGTCTTCAGTGATTTCAACAACCTGAATGGGACTTTCCAATTTACATAGAGCATCAAATTCACAAATGAATTTGTGACTATTTTCTCCCCAAGCTATCCTATGAATAGCATTTCAGATCAGGATTTGTCATCCACTTTACATGCTTGTAAGTAAAAGGGTTAGTTAAAACACAGTTTCAATACTATAATAATATAACTAAGATCCCTCCTTTCAGTTCAATGTGATTAAAAGAAAAACTGGTGGTTTTTTTTTAATTCCAGAAAATACTGTATGTACTGGTACTACCCAATAATATGTACATCCTGTATATTTCTGCAAAAAGGTAGCAAAATAGTATACAAAGTAGGCTGCCCATAACCTTCAGGAATGCTAAAGTTTTCTAAATTATTTTTTTCTTTTAAAGTAATTTTTTTCCTTTTCACTGGTTTGACAACTGTAAGCCTTCTTTGTGTAAATCTGCTTCTTCAAGTAAAACAGAAAATTAGTTTTACAGATTGCGCTTATCAGTTGTTTTGAAAGTAATCTAAATCTTGCAGCATCACCTAAAATTCACAGAAAGAATCAGAAAAAATAACATGATTTTAGAAACCCACAAGACTACCAAATTTGGTTATTTTCTCATCTTCATAACTGAAATAATTTTAAAGTTCATCGTCCAAAGAAGAAACATGATTTAAAAAAGCAATTGTCGGTTTTTATTTTGTTTACATTGCACTGAAAATTTACATCATACTTTTACAAATCCTTTTTCATAAAAATATACTTCTTTACAAAAGTGTATGCATTAATATAAGAGGAGTAGCCAGTTGCAGAAGAAACATTTTAAACGATCTCAAATGTATTAACCTTAACATTAATGAATGAATCATAGTTATTGCAGTCATTTGAATAAACAAGAATAAATAACAACCAATGGTATAAAATATAAAACAGCATCCTTTTAGTAGAATACAGTTTGACAGAGTTGTATGAATATTCAAAACAAAGTGTTGTAAAATGGTTTATAAGAAATTCATCAAACATTATAGAAATCCAAGCAGCAATCCTGGGTACAATGATTTTTGGTAGGCACTCTCTATTACGGTAATAAAAAGTTTAGATTTTCACAGAATCATTAATGTCTGAAAGGGACAATAACAGATAGTTCACACTGGCTAACACACAGCATTTGTGAGTCATGCTATGAATGGAAGACAATGACCTACATCAAATAAATTACTGAGTTCCCACTGAATAATTCTGATATGAAATAACTGTAAAACTAAAAACTGCATTTCCTTAGAAGTGATTCTGGAATGTCTAAAACTTGTATCTGAGGGCTGTGGAATCTGAATTGTCCCTAAAATGAATGGATTGTCCCTAATAAAATCATGGCTTTATATATATATATATATCTTTTTTTTTTTTCATTGCACTATGGTAATATATTTAATTTTAAATGAGCTGTAAAGATTTGTTTCCCTAAAGTACGGAATATATAGATAAAATAGATGTGAAAACACAGTATTTTCAAATTATAACTTCCTTTTGCCTTGTAGATGTGATCCAAAGTTCATTGAAGTCTCTTACAATCCATCAGCTTCAATGGGGTTTCATCATGCTTTGTGCATGCATTTTGTTAAAATGCTGAAGGAATAAACTGGTGTGATATGGTCTAGTTTTAACTAACATGGATTGAAAAATGGACTCCTAAATTTTTGATACATGGATTTCATTACTTGCGTTACTGTAAACTGCACTTTTTATTAGGAAATATCCTTAAATTATGTTTTTATTTTTGAAAAAATATGTAAGATGGTCACTCTTGTATGTTCTTCAACATTACCAAAGATAGTCACATACAAAGCTCAGTTCATATTAACTTCTTCATTGTAAAATTTGTCCAGATGATTGACAAAAGAAATATATGAACATGAACATTTGTGGGCATTGTTAATGGAAACATAGAAAACAGGCGTGACTTGAAACATGAAAATGAAGCAAGTTGTGAAGCAGGGAAGGAAATTCATTAAATAAGAAAATGAAATTCTATTTTTTCTTCTGTAGCATGAAAAGAGAAAGTTATAGTTGCTGATTTCTAAAGACTACCTCCTGGACCTAAAAACTTAACTGTTCTGTGAAAAATAAAATACTAAACAGGTTGGAAAAGGAAAAAAGGTACCAACTTATGAGAAAGATGGAGCATATGACTGTTAAAGAGAAATCAGTGACCTATTGTCTTCTGTAAGTATAGCTCTTATTTTCTACCTATGTCTTTTTTTTTTTTTTTTAACCCAGTCCCTCTATTATAGTTTTTATAAAGCACAGAATACTGATAGTGGATGCTCCTCCAATATATGCAAATACGTTTTATGTTTTAGAATAACCTCCTTTTTTAAAAAAGCAAATAAACTGTGAGTAGCACTCATGGAGTGCAGCAAATTTTTTTAACACTCTCCATGGCATACACGAAGAATTCTGATCCAGTTTATGAAAAACGAAATGAAAACAAAATAACTACAACCCATACTTGCCTATCGTCCTCAGGAAAAGGTGACCCACTACATCCTGAAAAGTGTGCTTTAATTTTTTTTAAATTTTTTTTTTTTTTTAATCAGTGAACTGTGTGTGCACTGTGTTGTGTGTCAATTCCCAGACTTTGAAGACAAATCATTACCACATTATACCATTGTGCAGACAGTGTTCAAGTTGGGGTCAAATCGTACCGCTTTCCCTTCCACTGACTTTGCATTTGTGTCATACATGGGGTTTTCAAAAGCAGCTTGTCCATTATTATTTTCATGTACAGAACATCCTGTATACTGTGTTTTAGGTGCAGTCCTGTTGAAAAAAAAAACCAGAGAATTTGTAAGTGCAGTTTTCCTCACTGCCTTAATGTAGTTTAAGAATCAGAACAGAATTTAGCTCCCAGTTCCAGTTACAGGAGCTAAATACATCATCTTTGGGCTATTTTTACAATATCTATGCTAAGAATTAGTACTGTATTCAAGTTAAAGGGATTTATGATTTATTGAAAATAGTGTTTACCTAGAAACTTAGTTAACAACCTTAGAAGAGGTTACCCATTGTGATTAGATCCATTATCCAAGTTGTTATCCATTATAATTGAAGGATCAGATGATAAATAGCAAAGAGTACAACAAAATCTTGTTAAGACATAATTCCCCCATCCAGATGACTGAGGTTTTCTTTTCCCTTTGGAGACTTGACAAGTTTACCAAGAACGACTTTATAGCTGAAACATTTTCTTTTTCACTAAATAACTCAAAATATCAGCGTTCAAACCCTTAAAAACTTTTCATCCATATTGCCATATAAAATGCATACTATATTGTAAATCATCAATATAAAATGCAAAGACCAGGGCTTACAGCATATAGGTAATAGCAAATACATTAAAAATTGCATGGGTAATTTTTCATATTCTGAAGCAGTTGAATACAAGTAGTGCTGTTTAAAAATCATGGTACATGTTTTAAACTAACGTTATCCTGTAGAGTATATTACTAGTATTATTGTCAGACTATCAGATGTAAATTAACATTTTGGCAGTTAATATGCAATGAATTGTCTTGTCGTTAAAGTGATTAAATTTTCTTTAGTTATCTAATGCTTTAAAGCTATAGGAAAAGGTTACTTGACACTGCATCCAAAGTGTTAGTACTGGTCTCGATAACATGACCAAAACTGTTGAACTTAGACTAGTGAAACTGAAAAGACTGGTGGCTGATTGACATATATGCATACGAACTAATAATTTCAGATGTAGAAACAGTTCCACAATGAAACCTCTCAAGGATATAATACTTGCATATACTTGTATGCCAATAAACAGAGTAGATATTGAAATAAACTACTCAGATTATGGTTCAGTTCTGTCACATAGAGAAAAAAAGATAGGTAATTTATTTTAAGTACATATAAAGTCTGCCAATTATATTATTTACCATATGCCAATAATTTATAACATATATTTTATTATAATAAGAGAGAAATTTATAAAATTCTAAATAGGTAGGAATGAAAGTATAGCACAGTACAATAAACTCATCTCTTAGTCATTACAGAAGACATTAATGGAGGTAGGAAGAAGGTTTGCGTATTTTGCAAACACTTTGTGGTTTTACAGAAAACTGTATTCATTTGCAAAGATTGAAGGCAACAGATAGAGTATTAGAGGAATTTTGTACATATAATTAGTACTTACCTTTGTTTATAAAGATAAAAGCCAAAACCAGCAAATATAAGGGCAAAGAAAGGCACAAGGATAGCAATGGCCACTGAACTACTATTTGTACCATGTGGTTGATTAGAAGAACTTGAACCCTCAGACATGTTAAGACCTAAAAAAACCCCGAAAAAAACCAAATAAGTAATATCATATATGTGTCTGTTATCCTCAGCACATACTACTCCATAATCTTCAGAACTCAATAACACCTTGTTACTGGGACATCAAAATGTGTTCAGCTGTATACATACAGCTGTATGCTGAGACCATCTGGAAAGTAAATATATACCATATTCTGATTAATAAGTAGATGCAATATGTTGGGAGAACAATATATATGCTCTGGTATAGTAAATATCTTACAGAAAAATTCTGCATGGGATTTAAGTTTTGGATGTTAACACACATTGATGTACTGTGTTACAAAAAGTCAAATTGATAATAACGCATATGTTACATTGATTACATTACTGATTATATTTCCATATTTCAGTAATGAATAAATGCTACAGGTATAAAAAACAAGCATAATGTCAAGGAAAAGGTCAATCATCTGAAGAGGCAAACTTGTTTCCTTAGGTGTTGTACGGATACACAGAGTGAAAGAGTAAGGAGCAATTTTGAAGAGCTAGAGCCAGATATTGATGAAAAAAAAGAATATGACCTTTTGCATGGTTGAGGAATACATTGTCTACATTACATCCACAGACAGGTTATACAACTTTTAAATGTGAGGAAAGTGATTACAATGCAGCTTCAAAACTAATTTTTAAGCTTTTAACTCCACCTTTTAACAATTGCATGCATCATAATATCTTCTCACTTTTCTAATCTTGCAAGGCAATACACAGAAATTAAAAAAAAAAAAAAAAAACAATAAAACAAAGCCCAAACAACATTAAAAACCCCAAACAACCATACATGTTTTGAAAAAAATTGCTTGGGAACAGCATTCAAAACATTTGGTTTCAGAGAAACTATTTTTGTCTTTGTGTTCAGGAAATAGTGAAGTGGTAAACACACTAAACAAAATCTGTTCAAAGATTGTAAATCTCTCTATAGCTGTATTACTGACTATATTACCTATAATGTCAGTAATGATAACATCCTGAGGATACTCTCATACTACTGGGCATTACAAAACAATACAAAACAATGAACTGGCAAAGAATTAGAATTTGCTGAATACCTAATCTTTGAAGTCCAAATTGTCCATAATCTTTACCCTGGATGAATCCTTGAAAAACATATGTTGCTCCATCAGGTTCAGCAGAAACCTATAAACAAAAAGTACTCTGAATTAAATGGGGAAAAGTTTCTTGCAAGTTACAAGCATCTGTTTGAAACAGAGCTATTCTATTCTATATCCTAATATGCTTGACTGATAGCTGTTATTCCCCACGATAAACACCTTCTTTTTCTAGAAAATCTATATAAAAAGTTCAAAAAGGCATAATTTAGATATGGTTTCTTATGGTCACATATGATACCTTATATGATACTGTATGCTTTAAACCTTTAACTGTATCTTTTTAAAAGCAGTAAAACTTAAAGTTTCTGGCAGTTCAAATGTCAGTATTTCTAAGCTCTTAAGTACTTCATAATTTCCTGTTTTGTTTAGGAAGTAGATGGAAAAATTGTTGTTGTAGATATAGTTCTTTAGTTTTTAATTTATTAGTAGTTTTTGTTTTACTAGTAATAAATGTTTATACTATTTTCCCCAAATCCTGTCTCTCTTTTGTCTGCAAAAACCTTCTCTCAACTAGTAGTAATGGCGTGGGGGGGGTGGAAAGCAAATTGACCCAGGGCAAAACCACGACACACAGTATGTCTTCAGCAGTGACCTGAAGCTATGTTTTCACTGAAGAAAGGGTGCCTTTCTCAGATGAATTTTTTAATTTGGGGTAAAGCAGCCTTTCTGAGATATTCCAAGATTAAAAAAAAAAATAAAATGTCTGCTTTTGTATATTCAGAAGTCTGAAAGCAATTTCCTTGCTTTTGCCATATTTTTGTCACCTCAGGAGAATGCTCATAAAGCCTAAAGTTTGTTCAAGCCAAGAAAGTTAAGCCCTTTTACCAGTACATTTATTGCTTAAGCAGTTTAAAGTTTTGTTCTTTGGTTTTGATTTTGCACCTTTCTAAAAATCATTATTGAAGCAGTGCCACAATTTGTGAGTACACTTCAGTACACACCTCTTCTCTTTGTTTGCCATATGTACCCATATTGGTGTCACTGCAGTGTTTTACCAGTAAGTGAAACACAAGGAAAAAGACAAATTCCTTGAAAAATCAGATTGTGTAGTAAGGATGTATGAGCATTTATCATAATCCAAATTATTTTATGCCCTCTCTTTTCTGAAAAATCTACTTTTTTTTTTATTGAAAGCATTTCCTTTTCATGATTTAAACACATCCCAGCCACTTGGGCTGCTGCTTTTTCTATCCACTCCTCTCCTTCACCTCTTTTCCTTTCAGTTATGTGCTCTCTTCTCTCTTTTGAAGAATAAGCTTACACCCAGAACCTCCAAGGGGCCTAATGCTTAGTTGGAGTAATCTATTTTTTTCCCTTTATATGTTTTTCATGTTTTTTCCCTTCATGTTTTTCACGGTATTTATGAAAATATTACCAAAAAGTAAGGCATGATTGCTAGTGTAATGATAAAATTGTTATTTTACTAATATAACAATAAATTGATATTATAATTATGATGAAACTTCTATATATATTAGAATAAAATTAAAAGAAACCTACAAGAAATACTTCTGTATTAACACGCTTTATAATTTTGTCTACACTGTATAACTGCTCCCATATTTTCCCTCAGATTGGTTTCCTATATCTTACAGACTGCTTTCTTATATCTTCCTATGTCTTTCCTATATCTTTAAATTTTCATTTAATTTAAAGAATAAGCCTTGCTAACAAGATTCCATTTCACATGTCTCAGGATTTTTTGTGTGTGAGACACCATCATGGTTTCAAACAAATAGAAAAAATTATCCCTCTTTTGTAACGCAAATATACTCACAAAACCATCCATAGCCCATTTTTCCTCTTTCAACTTGCTTGCAGATGTATGGGAGGGTGCTTTAATGAGATATATGTGGAGCATTAGCCGAGCTTCCTGGCTTTTATACACTCCTGTAGAACATGGTTTTAAAAATTCATATTTGTGTTGAGTAGAAAAATAATTTCATCTTTAAGAATAAACATTTAATCTCTTTTCTTAAAAAGGGAAAGCAGGAAAAATAGGTGCCAACTGTTACCATTTTTAGTTTATCAAGATGCATTCTTTTAATATTATTTCAATTATTTCAATAATAACATGGTTTCAACAGAAAACGTTTTTTAGCTTAGCCTGTAGAAAGGACAGCAGGGAAACCCTATACACACAGCTGTTACTTAGCAGTTATGGTAACAAGCCTTAGACAGAACAAACATTGACAGTAATCTGATTTGAGATGGAAAAGATTTTTCTGAATCAGAGAGTGTATTTAAATCTCACATCCCTACTTTCCATATATATAATTTAATCATCATATAGCAAATGTGATAATAGGAACATCCACAAACAAATTCTTTTCCAGAAGCTGGAGCTAAATTTAAAAATTTCTAAATTTGAAAATATTTAAAAAAAAATTGAATTTTCTTCTTAACTCAGTACTACAATACAGTTTCTTCCAGACAGTGAGAAGACTTGTATGCAATCTTCTTTATTTCATAAACATAATTAATTGTGTCATTGTTGTTCCTGCAGAATAAATATTTAGAACATAAATACCCTTATTTCCTTATTTGGAAATGAAAACAAAATTCTACAATATGGTTAGTGATTCAATCTTAATTTACAAAGACAGTGGTGAATAGTGAAAATACAGTTATGATTTTTCCCCCCACATTTTTTAAACATTTTTATGAATTAATGGTTTAAAACTTCAGATTTTAAATAGAAGATCTCTATAGTATGATCACTGTTTGTTTGTCAGATCACCAAAATTGCTGTTCATTGCTGAACATATGAAGTCCCCTATTTGTAGAATCAGACAAGGTTATATTGCATTTTACATGAGAAAGAGCTAATGATCATTAAAACTATAACAGAAACAAAACTAAAACCAAAACGAAGCAAGAGAAAAAAACCAGTAACAAAAACAAACCCCAAGCAATAATACTAATTATACTTCAGAAAAATGCCACCAATCCTAACTTAAAACTCACACAACAGACTTCATACTGTAAATTAATATGATTTAAAACACCGGCTTTCATGCATCACATTTTTGGGGTTTTAGTTTATACTGACTAACAGGTGTGGATGGCATCAGATTGATGGTCCTGATCACCCAGTGTGTGTGGCAAGGTTCTGGTAGCAGTGGTTGCACAGAGGTGGCTTCTGTGAGAATTTGCCAGAATCTTTCGTCTTGTCTGGCAGAGTCAATGCCAGCTGACTCCGGGACAGATCCACTTCTGGCCACGGCTGAGCCCATCAACAGTGGTGGTAGCCACTCTGGGATAACAGATTTAGGATGGAGGGAACTATGCTGTGCAACTGTAGCTGGAAAGATGAGTGAGAAGTAGCCCTCCATACACCAAGGTCAGTGAGGAAGGAGAGGAGGAAGTGCTCCAGATGCCAGAGCAGAGATCCCCCTGTATACCACGGTGAGGCAGCTGTGCTCAAGCAGCCTGTGGAGATCCACAACGGAGCAGAGGTTCACCTGCAGTCTGTGGAGGACTCCAGGCTGGAGCAGCTGGATATGCCTCGAAGAAGGCTGTGACCCCATAGGAAGCCTGTGCTGGAGCAAGTCCCTGATAGGACCTGTGGATCCATGTAGGAAGAACCCCCTGCTGAAATAGGATCACTGGCAAAACTTGTGACCCTGTGGGGAACCCACTGGAGCAGCCTTTTCCTGAAGAACTGCATCTCGTGGAAAGGACATGTTGACAAGGATCCACAGTGGAGCAGTTTGTGTAGAACTACAGCCTGTGGAAATGCTCCATGTTGCAGAAGTTTGTGGAGGATTGTCTCCTGGTGGTGGGATCCCACACTGGAGCAGGGAAAAAGAGTGAGGAGGAAGGAGCAGCAGAGTCAATATGGGATGAACTGACCACAATTTACATGCCCCTTTTCCTGTGCTGCTGGGAGGGGAGAAGATAGAGAACTCAGAAGTAAAATTGAGCCTGGGAAGAAGGAAAGGAAGTGGGGAAGGCGTTTTAAGATTTGTTTTTATTTCTCATCACCCCACCTTTGTTTGATTGGCAATAAATTAAATTAATTGTCATGAATTGAGTCTGTTTTGCCCATGATGATAATCAGCGACTGACCTCTTTCTATCCTTATCTCAACCAACTATCCTTTTGATATACTTTCTCTCCTCTGTCCAGCTGAGGAGTGGGAGTGATAGACCAGTTTATTGAGCAGCTGGCACCCATCCAGGTTCAATCCACCACATTCTTTGGTGGAAAAAAAAAGTATAACTAAATATAACTAAGGCTGCACAACACTGTAGTGGAAGAAAGAAAATGTCCAGATACTTCACATTCTTTGCATCTACAGGTAGAGAAGACAGAAATGCTACCACAACTAAACAGCTTAATATTGGACTCCAGTGCTTCAAAGAGATGATACAGCAGACAGCAGAATTTTCAGACTAATAGAATAGGAGGTTTTTGGATGAGAACACAGCATTTTACTTTTCTAATTCTAAAAATATGAAATACTACATCTGCTGCTCTTAATTCCCTCACAGAAATTACATGGCTGAAACTAAAGAGACATCATACAACAGCGAAAAAAGTACACACAGTAAAGGCAAATGTTATTATCAATCAGAAAACATTCAGTCCATCTACAGCCTCTCAAATATGACTCTTATAAGGACACCTACAAAATACCTTCAACAGACAAATCCAGGGACAAAAATTTACCATTCTGCTGTATATTAGAAAAATCAGACCTCAACAGAAACATAGATTCTTCGGCCCATTACATCCTTCCTGTAGGTAACCCCTCTCAGAAACCTATGGCTTGAACTTTCCTCCCATTTTTTTCCAACAGAGTGATGTTTTGTCACTTCTATCCTTGCTAGCACCGAAGAGTGGTGATAAATTACTTCAGATAAAGGTATCCTAGAGTATGAGGAAGATTAAAAACAGCAGTGTCCAGCCTATACATAAATGAAACGTTTAGGCTTTTTCCAACCTTGCAGTCAATGTGGTAGACAGAGGATGAAATTTCAAGAAACTAAATTTTGAGTGATAATATTGATTTCAGGTGTTTCTTTTATGCCAATTCACACCCCTGTGAAATAGCCTGCCACTCCTGTGGTGTGACAGACCCGTTGTCTGTGTGCTTGAGATGTTTCAACCAAAGGACAGAAAGATTCAAAAAACAAACAACCCTCCAAAACTTTAAACCCAAACATTTCTAGTATCTTTTCAGCCATATCTGTGGTTTCTGCTGATGGTTTACAGCACAGAGAACTGTGCATACTGTGCCAACATAACCATGACAACAGTGCTCTGAATGTCAGGGGCTGTGGAATATCACAATATCGCATTCAAGGATTTCTGCTGCTGCCACAGCATGAAAGGAGCTAAGTCTCAGGGTAGCCAGCCTGCTGAGCTGGAAGTCAGAGATGGGGAGCAGACTGACACCCCCAAGAGGATTTCAAGAGGAAATGGTCAACAATCTGCTCCACCACTTAGACACAAAAAAGTCTTTGGGGCTGGATGGGATTCACCCAACTGCTCTCTGAGACACTTTCAATCATTTACCAGCAGTCCAGGGTAGTACAGTCCTGTCATCCTGACCTTGGTGCCAGAGAAGACTACTGGTCAAGTCTTCTTGAATGCCATCACATGGCATGTGCAGGACAAACAGGGAATCAGGTTTAGCCATACAGGTTAAGATCCTGCCTGCCTAACGTGGTCTCCTATGATAAGGTGCCTCAGTGGATGAAGGAAAGGCTGCAGATTCTGTCTAACTGGACTTAAATAAAGCTTTCAAGATCATTTCTCATAGCATTCCTCTGGAGAAACTGACTGTTCATGGGTTGGACAGGTGGACTCGGAGAAAAAACTGGATGGATGGATGGATGGATGGATGGATGGATGGATGGATGGGTGGACAGATGAATGGGTGGATGGATGGATGAGCCCAGAGAGTTGTGTTGATTGAAGTTACATCCAGTTGGTGGTTGGTCACAAGTGGTGTTCCCCAGGACTCAATACTGGGGAAAGTCCTGTTTAATATCATTATTAACAATCTGGACAAGGGGATTGAGGGCACCCTCAGTCAGTTTCCAGATGACACTAATTTGGGCAGAGGTATTGATCTATTGGAGGATAGGAAGGCTCTGAAGAGGGATCTGGACAGGTTGCATCAATGGGCCTGCACTTCGGTCACAACAACCCCAGGCAACACTATAGGCTTGTAAGGACATGGGGGTGCTGGTCAACAGTGGCTGAACATGAGCCAGCAGTGTGCCCAGGTGGCCAAGAAGGTCTGTCATCCTGGCTTAGATAAAAAATAGACACTGAAGTGCCAGAGCACGTCCAGAGAAAGGAGCTGCAGAAGGGTCTAGAGCACAAGTCTTATGAGAAAAGTCTGAGGGAACGGTTGTTTAGTCTGGAATAAAATGGAGACTGAAGGGAGATCATATCCTGTCTTCAACTACTTGAAAGGAGGTTGGAGGAAGGTAGGTTTTGATTGCTTTTCTCAAGCAGCAAGTGGTCGGACAGGAGAAAATGAAAGATAATCTAACAAATGTCATCTCTACTTTTTTTTCATGTTCATTAGGTATCTCTGACTTTCTAGGTCAACACATATCAATCTCATCATATTGACAATTAGTCATTAATAAGCTACTATAGGGAAATTTTATAATTAAGATTTAATAAAATCTCAGGAACTGTAATTTCACTTTATTTATAATATTTAAAGAATAAGCATGAGAACTAGGATTATTCTTTCACTACTTATTGACTATTAACTCCAAATATAATAAAAACCTGGGAAACAAAAACAAAGAGAGGGAAAGAAAGAAAAGGTGGATAAATCTCTGCCTTTGAAAAGGAACTGAAATACAATGAAAATTTCTTTGATAAGCTAAGAAAGTTTCCAGAAGTTAAAAGTTTATGTGTTATATATAAAGTTACAGGGAACCAATGTATATAAGGCAGAAAAAAAAAAAAAGGAAATTAGTATTTCTTAGACCATACCTGATAGCAGCAATTCCATATTGCTGTTTGTAAGTGTTGCATTTACTCTTCCTGAAGTTGCATTGAAACTGGTGACTGTCAGAGTCATGGGCTGTTTCTTGCTTTTGTAATTGTAAGATCCTTTCCATATATAATTTTGGGCAAATACATCATCAGGAACTATACAGACATAAACATGTTTCAATACAAATTGGAATATTTGGTACTTCCAAAGTAAAATATCCAACAAAATGTGTGATAAATATTAGCATTTTCTTTCCTTTATTCTTTCTGTTTTTAAGGCTAGGAGGCATAATTTTTGCATATAAAGCATAGAAATCTGGCATGAACTTTAATGAAAGAAATGTGTTTGTACTGAAGAACACAAGCACAACTATACCTTCATTTGCTTTTTTCCTTATTATGGACCTGCCCTAAAATTAAAACAACTACACAAAACCTAACAGCTTTAACCAGAAGTTCATATTTCTCTCCCTGTAGAATCTTTTCTATGGCAGCACAGACAGCTAGGGACATACAGCTAGCATTGAATTTTGCAGAAATTAATATCAGTTTAGATATCATCATTTTCATAAGCATATTTAAATGACACTGGAATGTTATAAGTATTTCCCTTATTATCCAGCCACTTTTTTTAATGAAAAATTTATATGAGAAATGTTGTCTTGTCTTCAAGTGCTTAAAAACATTATGAACTTCACAAGGAGAAAAAAATAAATTCTCTAATTTAAAATTAAAACCAGATCATAATCTTCAGAGCAGGGCAATAAATATGATAAATTTATACCGTTAGCAAACTGTAAAATTATTAAATAATGCTATTCCAGCAACTAAAAACCCCATCAAAACAAGAAAAAGCCACCCATCCAGCAAAAATAGATACATGCAAATCTTTAAAATCTTAGCGTGAGATTCCATTTAACCAATGAAATGGAAGGTGATTTAGGATGGGTTTATTACACTCTCTAGGGTATTGTAGCAAACTTAGCCCTATAACAATCACTATTTAAAATCATCACTTTTGCATTATTTGGAGCGACTCAGACTGAACTTAAAGGTTTGTGTGTGCACTGGCATCTCATGTCAGATAAGCACAGAAGAATATTTGCTCCTTTCTTTCTCATAATGTCCCTAATTCAAGACTGGGTCACACCAGAATGACCACAGTTTTCTTTCATCACAAAAACAAGTTGTCTTCCCCATGGAGGGTAAAAGAGCTTTCCTATTTTTTTTATCTGTGCATATGTGTATATGTATATGTATATATATATATATATATATATGTTTTTTGACAAAACATCTAGATACTGGACCTGCAAACTGTAAGGAAAGAAATTGCATGATATGAATGGTCTGATGCTGTTGATTTGTGACCTGACTGAAATTTATTTCCCTACTTTTAGGAAATTTATGTACTCTACTTGCAGTTAATTGGGATTGCACAAAATGAATGAAAATTTTCCGAATGAAAAAATTGATAACTACCATGCAGCACTACATCATTGACAAACACAGTTTGGAAGTAGAGCACAACATTAAAAAAAAAAAAAAAAAAAAAAAAAAAAAAAAAAAAAAAAAAAAAAAAAAAAAAAAAAAAAAAAAAAAAAAAAAAAAAAAAAAAAAAAAAAAAAAAAAAAAAAAAAAAAAAAAAAA